GAACACCCCCGACCCGACCCGACCCGACCCCACTCGCAATGGGTACCCCGTATTAGGAGGATGCTACTTCGCGGGTGACTCCCACCACTACCAAAATGACCAAAATCGCCCACTGGTGGGCGACAATGCCAGGGGTGTTTAGTTTAGCGTTGGTAAGAGTTTTACGGCAATTGCAGAAAAACAATAAGGTCAGATAAGTAGCGAAGATTATAGGTGTGGTGTTACAAGAGAGTAACAAACACAAAAAAGAAGGAGGGGAGATGAAGACGATAGATGTTCGACAGGAAAGAAAAAGCAGACCACACCAGAGCACCCGCCAACCACCCACGAGTAGAGAGCGTGGACCAATTTTTTTTTGGGGGGACGGACTTATGAGAAGTCAGTACAAAACAGAACAAGACGGGAGGTGAAGGACGCGGGGAAGGATGTGGCGGGGAGCGGGAGCAGAGGGGGGCAGGGCGTGGACCCATGACAAGACAGTACGTAGGTGTGGGCTGAGAGATGACGTCACAATGTGACAGTGCGTGTCATCACAACACTGTTACCTGTCTCCGTGGTCACAGATCCTGTTTCCTTCTCTCTCTCCCTCTCCCCCTCTCTCCGTCTTCTAACCCTGTTTTCTCTCTCTCTCTCTCTCTCTCTCTCTCTCTCTCTCTCTCTCTCTCTCTCTCTCTTCTTTCAGTTTGTATTCTCTCTCTCTCTTCTTTCAGTCTGTATTCTCTCTCTCTCTCTCTCCGTCTTCTCTCTCTCTCTCTCTCTCTCTCCGTCTTCTCACCATGTATTCTCTCTCTCTCTCTCTCTCCGTCTTCTCACCATGTATTCTCTCTCTCTCTCTCTCCGTCTTCTCACCCTGTATTCTCTCTCTCTTTCTCTCTCTTCACTTTCCCACCTCTTCTCTCTCTCTCTCTCTCTCTCTCCTGTCTGTTCTATTTTCTGTCTCCCCCTCTTTCTCTCGCCTCTGTCTCTTTCACGATCCCTACACCATCATTCACGACATCCCCCCCCCTTCCCCCTCCCGGACAAGCCCCGGTGTGAGGTGTGTGGAGGAGGAGTGTGAAGGAGTGCGGAGGACTGTGTGGAGTGTGTGATGTGTGAGGCATGTGAGGGGGGTCCCACGTCAGGGGAAGATTGATCAGTGCCGGGCTCATAACACGTACTATGTACACTGTATACACACACACACACACACACAGAGAGAGA